AATGTGGTATACTTTAGTAGCATTGTGATGGGCAAAATAAAAGAGACAGTGCTTCTGCCTGCACTCTGCCCTGATCACACCACACCCAGAACATTTTGTACAGTTCTGAGGATCACATTTTAAAAGGCACATTGAGTAACTGGAGCATGTTTTGAAGAGGGCAGCTGGGATCGATTAAAACTATCATTTGAAGGATTATTGAAAGGACTGGAGACATCCGGCCTAGAGAACAAAGACATGGGAGATATCATGACAGCCTTCAATGTATGAAAAGTTGTCATGTGGAGGATCCCAGAGCTGTTCTGCAGAGCCTCTGAGGATAGTGGACAGATGAACAGAAAAGCAGATTCAGGTGCATCTAATAGTAATAGGTGTTTAGAAACAGAGGGGGCGGTCTTGGGTGGTATTAAGTTCCTCGTCACTGAAGTTGTTCAAAAACAGGTTATTTGGTTATTCATTTTTTTATTTTTATTTTTTTTAATGTTTTATTTATTTATTCATGAGAGTCAGAGAGAGAGAGAGAGAGGCAGAGGCAGAGGGAGAAGCAGGCTTCCCGCTGGGCGGGAGCCCGATGCGGGGCTCGATCCCAGGACTCTGGGATCATGACCCGAGCCAAAGGCAGACGCTTAACCATCTGAGCCACCCAGGCGCCCGGTTATTCATTTTTTTAGAAGCGGGGGGGAAGAGAAGGGGGGAATGAGCAAAAGGAGAAAGAGAATCTCAAGCAGACTCCCCATCGAGCGCAGAGCCTGACACAGGGCTCGATCCCATGACCCTGAGATCATGACCTGAGCCAAAATCAAGAGTCAGATGCTTAACCGACTGAGCCACCCAGGCGTCCCTTGTTTGTTGAATAAATGATTTCAGTATTCTTTGTGCATTCCCTAGTGCATCATACGGTAAAAGACACTATGAAAAGAATTTTGAAAAGAGACCCAAGGATTTCTCAGCAAATAAACAGTGATCTTTTCCCTATATATCATGTAAGACTCAATCACTCCATAATATTTAGTGACTGTACATCCTTGATGTGCAGGAAACTCTGTTGGACCCTTGTGAAACTTAATAACATCAAAGAAATCTTAAAAGTCGTATTGACCAAGAGGTGTATGTTTGGGAGAGGGCAGATAATCAGTGTAAACTATTGTAGTATTAGCACTGCATGAACACATTGCTTACTACCTACGTGGAAGCTGTGACCAAATCTGAAAAAATTACATGAGGCATAAGTTGATGAAGTAGAAGGGCCCACAACCAGGGAGGAATGTGACTTTCACCTTGGAGTTCTTAATAGTCATAAAATAATGCTGAGCATGATAATACAAGTTTTCTCATCTTAATGGCATCATATAGCACTTGATAATTCTCTTTCCCCTACCCCCTCTAACCATTACCTCATTTAGCTTTACTAAAGTGTTTCCACACATTGAGAAAAAGTTTTATCCCTCGGCCATTTATGATACTGTGACCAAGAAAAATAAAAGGCTCTTTCATTGTTGTATGTTTAATGAAATTATGAGTCTATAATCATAAATAAAGCTGATATGTAATAAAAGGGCCAAAACATAGGAGCTGAAGTTGCAGCAGCATAAGGAGCACTCTGCTGGGGCACCTGGGTGGCTCAGCAGTTAAGCATCTGCCTTCGGCTCAGGTCATGATCCCAGGGTCCTGGGATCAAGCCTCGCATCGGGCTCCCTGCTCAGCGGGGAGCCTGCTTTGCCCTCTCCTACTCCCCCTGCTTGTGTTCCCTCTTTCGCTGTCTGTTAAATAAATGAATGAAAAAAATCTTTAAAAAAAAAAAGCTCTCTGCTAAGTGATTTTAAAGGGATAAATTTAAAACAGAAAAAGTAACAAAAGCTGATTCAAGACTACTCTGATTTCAAGTAGAGCATTTTGTCTAATTTAGTAGTGGAGATAAACCATCAATGGAGAATATGAGGTTAAACAGGTAACAGTTCCATTTCTCACTTTTGTGTTTGTTATAAAAGACAATCTGTAAATATTATGTCTGAAAGGCTATAGATAAGAAATGCAAGATTAGCAAAAATTAAAAGCTTAAAGACAGCAAAAGCAATATGTGAAGGTATATTCAGGTCTGAAATTTGAATAAGAAGTCAGTCATATGAAAATCTGGGGGAAAATAATTTCAGGCAAAAGGAAAGTGGCACAAACAGATAAAAGATGTGCTAGTATTCTTTTTTAAATTTAAGTCATTGGTTTACTGATAATATGTTTTATAAAAGAGATATATAAGAGTCCCAGATATTACCTGAATTCAAAGAAATGGAGGTGTCTGGGTTAATAAGTTTGAAGAGCAGGTGTAATTTGGTTTCATTAATGTAAAACAGTTCATAAACGATATTTCAACTTCAGAAGATACAGTATTGAAATATTCCTTTGTCCATTCTTGAAGCTGCATGTTTTGTCCAAAGGGATTTATTTTTATTTATTTTTTTTAGAGAGAGAATGTGCATGGGGGTGGGGGGGCAGAGGGAGAGGAAGAGAGAGAACCTTACCGAGGCTCCATGTACAGGGTGGAGCCTGATGCGGAACCTGATGCAGAGTTGGAGCTTATGATCCTGAGATCATGACCTGAGCCAAAATAAAGAGTCAGACGCTTAAGCGACTGAGCTGCCCAGGTGCCCCTGAAGGGAATTTTTTTTTAAAAGGGAATTTTAGTGGGTAAAGTGTAGGTTTGCGTGTGTGGAGAGAGAAATAGGCAGACATGCCATTTCAACTATTAAATTCTCTGTTATAAACTGGTGTTTAGAAAGGAAAACAAATCAAATAGAACCTATTTATTTCTAGCAATCAATTTACTGGAACAACTCTGTGAGATTTTACCGAAAGTAGTTGACTGGCTGATAGCATCTAGGGAGAAGAGGCTCTGCCAAAGAAAAAGATGCTGTTGGTTTGAATGTGATTGAAGAACAGAAGGGTGATCACAATGGAAATTTTCATAAATTGGCAATGATGTTGGAAGTTTCCATGCCAGTGTCAGCTGCAGACTCTCTGCCCTGCTCAGTCACCTCCACAAGGGACTTGTGTAAGATTTTAGACACCTTAGCCCCCTGGCTCCTGGTCATGCCCTGTTGACTGAACGTATCCACTATTCCCATGGCTCCCAGCATGGCCTTGACATCAGAGCTCTTCCACTTTGAACGGCGGGAAGTACAAATCTACATCTCTCTTGCTCATATTCTGTGAGTTGCCCAGGTTATCAATTTTTTAGTGGCGAGTTTATCTTCAAGCTTCTGCGGACCACTTACTTCATTTGGCAGCAGCAAAATCCTGCTGAGATCTGCATGATCAATCCTGCTTAGATCAGCGAAGTCGTGCTTACCTTTTTATGGTATTCCAGGATCTTGGCTTGTACATCCTTCAGGAAGGCAAAACTAAAGACCTTGCTTTGTTTCATCATCTGCTTAGATTTGCTCATATTCTTGTTCAGCCAAAATTCTCCTTCTTCAGTATGTTCTTTATCAAAATCCTGATCCCACTGCCCTTTGAAATAGACTTGTTCATCGGAACCAGTACAACAGAGCTGCTAGCAGAGCCATTGGAAAGTAATCCTTGATGTTCTTCATTTGTTTGCCCTTCCACCCAGGAATTAACTCTTCTTTCTTCAGCGTTTACATAATCAACAGATTCCACACTGGCTAGGTTAGGTTTGTTAACGTTATACAAGTCCTGAAGAAACTGATGCATCATTTTTCCATAGAGCCTTTTGGTCATGATGTTCAGTTCATGTGCATCAGTGGGTTTCTTTAATTCAGTAAGAAACTTTTGAAATTGGTGATGCAGACATCTTGACTTTCAACCTGACCTGTTGTAGCCTTTCCTTTTGTGTCTCTGTGACTTCATTAAAGTGTGTCAAATTTCCCTCTCCTAGGATGATGTAATCTCGAGATCCTTAACTTCATTACATATGCAAAAACTCTATTTCCCAATAGTCACATTTACAGGGACTGAGGGCTAGGACTTGGACATATCTTTTCTTGGGAGACACAATTTAATCTACTATTTACCCCAGTGAACCGTACCTCCTGGTATTCATGCCTTTGTGCAGTCCTCTTTTTTTTATCTGGGTGGGCCCTGTGGTACTCACTGGTCACCAATCAAATGTTGCAAAAGTGATGCTGTGTGATTTGCAAAGTTAGATCAGAAGGAACGTGGAAGTTTACATCTTGGTCTTTTGGAACCTTCACTCTCGGGGTACCCAGACACCCTGTAAGAAGTCTTTAGGCTTTAAATGCAGCGGACCCAAGAAACTATGGAGAGGGAGTGGGGTCCAGCTGAGCCTAGGCTTCCAGACTTCCCACCGCAGGCATCAGGTGAGTGAAGCGCTTCTGCACCTTCGACCACCCTAGCCTCCAGTTAAATAGCACCAAGTGACCCCACTTAGTGCGACGTGGGGCAACTGGTGGTGGTGGTGGAGTGGTGAGGTGAGATGGTTTTTGTAATCAATCCTTGGGCCCTTGACTCGAAGAGCGCGCGCGTGCGCCCGCGCGCACACACACACACACACACACTCCCCTCCCCCCACCCCTCCCCCACAGAGGGTTGAGAGGAGAAATCCGATGACCCTGTGAAAGGCACGCTTGCAGAGTCCAGGCAAACAAAGCCCAAACAAATTCGGGCACCGCTTTTAGTAATGCCTTTTATAAATTAATCCTTCCTTTTTAAGCACTATATTCACGTACGAAAATAACTCTTGGAAACACATTCTTCTTTTGAAAAATATGAGAAACATTAGAAAAGCTCCCCCCAACCCCAGCGGAACCAGGGCTGCCGGTGTGGTGTGCATGCTTCCACGACTTTTCTGTGTTTACAAACACAGTGCCATCAACACACTGCTCCACTTGCGGGTTCTGTTTCGTGGCTCACGTGCACGCCTCTCACACGGTGGAAACGGTCTCATAACTTGCCCTCCTCACTTTACCAAGTGTCGTAAAGTCCTGTTCACTTCAGCGTCTATCCCAGCGGCGTAAATCGCCACGTAGGCCCTCCTGTCCCCAAATGGAGAGGGGCGGGGTCGAAGGCCTCGAGCCCGCCGCGGGGCGGAGACGGCGCACGGCGATGACGCAACGCGGTGTGCGCGGAGACGGCGGGAGCCACGACGCAGGGGAGGGGCGAAGGCTGCGGCAACGTCAGGCGCGCGCACACGTTGCAGCTTCTTGCTTTCGGCGGGTTCGGAGAGGTTCTGACGGCCAGGCAGGCGCACTGACAGGTAGCCGCAGACCGGCGGAGATGGCGACGCTCTGTCTGACCGTGAATGCAGGAGACCCTCCGCTGGGTAAGGGGACGAGGCCGCCGACCTGCGTGGGTTGCATCAGCCGGGGAGGGTGCGGGGCAGGGAAGGTCGCCGCGCCCGGCGTTGCGCAGTGGCGGTCACGGTCTGGGAGATTAGGCCTGCCCTCTCCTCGAAACTGTACACGGAGTAAGCTCTGCGCCGCTCATCTTCCATCCCCTGGCATGTGGATCTGCTCCTGAAGACCGTTTTCTCGGGCGTGGAGGGAGGCGTGGTGTGAGCCCAGGCAGAGCGACGTGTCGCTCAGCTTCGGACCTTTTCTCTTAAGAGGGATGACTGTCAGCCAACTCCCCTCCCTTTTTGAAATGGCTTTCCATAGAGACCTAGAGCTGCTCGTAGAAATAGCGTTTTGAAAGTTAAAATCATCGTCTTCGCGTCCCCTCTTTTAGCATACCCCCCTTTACTTACATCTCCCTTCCTCCCTCTTCTCAGAACAGATCTTCAATCCACTTGACTACCTTATGTTTCGTTGGGTTCAAGGGGAACAAGGCAGACAATTGTAGTAGCTGAGGTTGCATTACAACGAGGTTGCATTTATTTTTAATTAATGGTGGCAGGGTAATTGCTGGAACACTCAAGTACACTGCGGACTAATAGGGTTGCTTTACTACACACCCTTATGGATGTGGTCAACGCCAGAGTAAACGTCGGATCTGTCACATTCCTAGTACATGTTAAGTTCTATTTGGATTTGCTTTTTCTGTGTGGCCGAGATTACTGTAGATAGATAGTTTAGGATTTCTGCTTTTTCATTACTTTGGGAAATAACGCAAAAGAATTTGAGTAGTTTGTTAATCTCCTATTGGTTAATGTGTATGCATAGTATAGACTCACAAGTACTTTTTTTTTTAAAGATTTTATTTTTAAGTAATCTCTACACCAAACATGGGGCTCGAACTCTATCGCGAGATCAGGAGTCACCCGCTCTACGGACTAAGCCCCCACAAGTAGTTTTTTAATGTGGGAGAAGTGCAGACTTTTAGATGCAGTTGACAAAATTACTCATTGCATTGTCAACTTCGGTGGTGTTCTGAGTCTTTTGGAATAAAACCCACAATTTAATAGCCATTTTAAATATTTAAAAAATGCTAATGTTTTAGCATATTGGTTCCAGTAATTATGGGCTAACCTCACACAAATCAATAAACTCTAAAAAAAAAAAAAAATGGGTTTGCTCTTTGGGCTGGAAAGTACTAGACAGTGTGGTCTCATGGTTAAGAGCAAAAACATTTGGTTCCTGGAGACCTGGGTCCGATCCTGGCTGCCACTTACTATTTGTGGAACCTTGGCGGGTTCTGTGTTTGGCTTCTCCCACAGTCCTCTGATTAAGAAAGGAAGACTAGTATTTTCTACATAGGGTTGGTTGCCAGAATTAAATGAGACTGTAGGTAAAATTCTGACACATTTTAGATATTCCATAGCTGTAGTTTTTACTAATGTTACTTAGCAAATCCCCCTGTTTCCTTAGTGATCACATTCTGATTATTCTGAAAGAGGATCTTAGAGAAATTTATTGTCGTTTTGAACTGTAGACCAATTATAGAGTATATGTTTGCTTTTCCCCTCCTTTTTTGTTTTTTAATTCTTCCTACTGTTTGATTAAAAAACATCTTTAAATCAATAAAATTGGATGAAACATTTAGAAAAATAGATTGCATTGCTGGAATTTCCCTGTTTTACATGCATTCAGCATGTGAAGTGTTTTTTTTTTTAACGTTAAAATAATTTCAAACTTAAAAAGGTACAAGAATAGAACCAATTACTTTTTCCCCCCTGTACCACTGAAGAGCATACTGCAGATAATGATGCTTCAACATCAGGAATATGCCAACATACAGCTCTCTTAAGCAAGGAACCTTTTTACATGACCTGGTAGGACCATCAAAATCAGGAAGTACACATTGATACCATTCTTCTGTTTAATGCAGACACCCTGTTCATATTCCAACACTAATTGTTCCAACAACACTCAGTAGTACAGGGATCAAAATCCAGAATCATGCTTTGCACCTAGTTGTCATGTCTCTCCAGTTTCTTTCAATCTGGAATGTTTTTTCAGTCTTTCCTTGGCTTTCATAGCTTTGACCTCTCTGAAGACTAAAGACCAATTACTTGAAGAATGTCCCAATGATGTTTACTTGTGGCTTTATTCAGCTACACATCTTTGGCAAGAGTAGCACAGAAGTGATTCGTTGCTCTTCATTGCAGCCCATAAATTGGTGCATGAATTTGATTTTTCCCATTACCGATGATGTAACCTTGATTACTTAAGAGGGTGTCAGCCAGCTTTATGGACTGCAGAGTTCTCTCTTTGCATTTGACAGACATTTTGTGGGGAGATGCATTAGGACCATGTAAACATTCCACTCAAACCTTCGTTTACGTGTTTCAGCACCCATTGATGCTTCCTGCCCAACTTGATTATTATGAAGAGGATGCCAAAAGGTGACCTTCCAATCTGCTGTTCCTTCTACATGTATTAGTTGACATTTTTCTGGCAGAAGATCTTTTTCTTTCCCATTAAAAAAAAATTCGTAACAAAATGTCTCAGGTTATAATCTGTATTATTTATTTTTACTCTTTTAATTTAAAAATTTTATTTTTTAAAATTAGTTTTATTGAGCTATAACGTGCATTCACTAAACTTCACCAATTTAAAATTGACAGATACGTACAGTAACCACTGCAATAATGATTGAGAATATTTCTCTCATTTTGGAAAGTTCCCTTATGTCCCTTTGCATCAGCTTCCTTTCCCCATCTCTGGTCCCTGATAGCCACTGATCTGCTTTCTGTCAGTATTCTATTTTTTCTAGAATTTCATATACATCGAATCATATCATATATATTCTTTTGTACCTAGGATAATGCTAACTTGTTGCCTGTAACAGAACTTTAGAGCTTCATGCTTTTTATTTGCTATATAGGATTTCCTTGTATGGACACATTAAAACTTGTATCATTTACGTTAGTAGTTACATTGCTACTGTTTGCCAGTGGGAGCCCCTCCAAGTTGGCCTCTGTGTCCTTTTGGCTTATCTATTTGATTACTTCTTGCTTTCTAGCACAGAATTTTCCAGGTCTGTCTTGTACCTTCCCTGCCACAGCCCTGTTTCCAGTGGAGCTTGATATTTAGAAATCAGTATCTGGGTGCTGGTGGTTCATGTTGGCCAAATTTAAAGGACAAAAGATTAATGAATCAACTTAGGATATTTAATAGGTGTTGAGAGGCAGATTACACCGTGTTTTAGAGTTTAACTTCTGGACCGCCATAGGCCTGCATTCAGTTCCTGAGTGTCACATATTTAGTCAAGGACTTTGGGTTCATTATTTAATCTTTCCAAGCCTCAGTTTCCTCTTCTGTAAAATGGAGATAAAGATGTTTACGTCTTAAGATCACTACAAAGATTAAAAATTATAATGACCGTAAAGCATTTTAGCATAGTGCCTACCACATAGTAATCACTCAGATGCTATTAACAGTAGTTTTTATACAAGGCACTGTTCTCATTTCTTGTCTCCTGAGGGAAGAAAAGATTTATTTCGATGCCCTTAACTGGAAGCTGAACTTACTCAAAAGCAGTTGGAGTATGCCAGTGAATAGTTTCTTATATATTATTTTCCCAAGACCAGAAGATGATCCTTTCTCTTTATAGACTACTGGGAAAGAAGTTTAACTCCTTGGTTTGTTGAGTCATTCTTACTGCTTTATGATTGGTTTGTTGAGTCATTCTTACTGCTTTATGATTCAGGTTTTAAATACTACATTGTTAATAAAGAAAAATCTTTTCATCTCATTCCACTTAGGAGCTTTGCTGGCCGTAGAACATGTGAAAGACGACGTCAGCATTTCTCTTGAAGAAGGGAAAGAGAATATTCTTTATGTGTCTGAGTAAGTACTTCTGTGTCTGTTTTCAGTACTGAACAGCATTTTTTAAATATTCAGAATTCAATGTTCTATGCTTGTTTTATTTGCTAGTTGGTAGATTAACTCTAGAAAGAAGTATGCTTTTCTTCCTCATTCTTTTTTTTTTTTTTTTAACGATTTTATTTATTTGAGAGAGAGAGAATGAGAGACAGAGAGCATGAGAGGGAGGAGGGTCAGAGGGAGAAGCAGACTCCCTGCCGAGCAGGGAGCCCGATGCGGGACTCGATCCCGGGACTCCAGGATCATGACCTGAGCCGAAGGCAGTCGCTTAACCAACTGAGCCACCCAGGCGCCCTTCTTCCTCATTCTTAAAAGAAGTATATCCAGAGGCTTATATTTGTCAGCAAGCTATCTGATCCCACTTATAATCTAAAAAAAACTAGAAACGTACAGAAAGATTTTTTTTTTCTTTTTACTTTTCTGTTTTTGCAGGTTTCTACAAGCATATATTGTGTGTTTTTTTATTATTTATTTATTTTTTAAAAAAATTTTATTATGTTATGTTAGTCACCATACAGTACATCATTGGTTTTGATGTGGTGAGCATATATTGTATGTTCTTGATTAAAGTGAATCATGTGCATCCCAGGATATATGGAAGATTAAACTTTTTTTTTTTCTGGAACCCACTGTGAAGAATAAGAAGAATTGGAAAGGGAGATATTATTATCCTTAATTTTAGTTTAATGAAACTGAGGAATAGATATAACCTGGTTTCAGATTCTTTTAAGAATACTTCACCACATAATAAAATCTGGACCAAATTGAAAGAAGTTTTCAAGGGTATTCTCAAGCTGGATACAGATTTGAAATGTGTTTAAAAGGTTCATAATAAACTGACAGAAAGACTTATATTGGGAAAGGGGCAAGATACATAAAAACACACACTCACACACACTCTTCTCCTCCCCATCTCCTCCTTCTTCCCAGTGTAGTTGTATCATAATTTTGGTTAGGTCGCCATTCAGTGTTTATACTGTAATGACCCAGTAAGTTTTATTCACTGCTGAGCCACATATTATGATTATTTTTTTGTGTACAACTTTTACTTTTCCATGGAATAATTGTTTGCTTTGTTCTCTTTCTTCTGAAGCCTCTCTGATTCAGGGGTCTGTAGGAATATTTTCTTCTGATTCAGTGTTCTGAAATTTCACAGTAATATGGTCTGGTTTGGGTCAATTTTTTTTTTAAAGATTTTATTTTTAAGTAATATATACATCCAATGTGGGGTTCAAACTCACAACCCTGAGATCAAGAGTCACATGTTCTACTGACTGAGCCACCTTGGTGCCCTGTGTGGGTCTATTTTGAATCTGTTCCACTGGGTACTTAGTCTCCTTTCAATGTGGAAACTTGGAAATCCTGTTTTGGAAATTAAAAAAATTTTTTTTCTTTGATGATTTTCTCCTCCATTTTCTATTCTTCATATGGATGTTGGGATTAAGTATCACCTTCATTTTTCATCTATTTTTTCTTTTTTCTTTACTTTCTGGAGAGTTCTTCAACTTTATCATTCCTATTTTTCTATTGAGTTTTTCATTTCTGCTATATTTTTATTATCTAAGAGCTCGATTTTTTATTTTTTGAGTACTCCTTTTATAGTATCCTTGTTTCATGATTGCAATATATTGTTTCATTGCTTAAAGGAAATTTATTTACTTTTTAAATTTTCTTCTCCCTAATTTGCCTAAGTTGCATTTTTCTGTGTGTTTATTTTGGTTACTATCTTTCAAGTTAAAAGCTTTCTTCAAATATTTGGTAACTCCTGATGACCTTCTCAGATTTTAACTGGAATTTAAAGCTGTTTATAAGTTCTGAATTCAAGGGTAGTCTTGTTAGCTCTGAGCATACTTTGTGATGGTCTGATTGAATGGTTCACTTAGCAGGAACTTCTGATGTTAGTATCCTTAGTTATTTCTTCTTAGGCTGATCAGATTATTTAGTGAAGACTTTCAGTCTCCTGTTTGGAAGATAAAGAGTTGATGCCAGAATATTTTGGAAGCTGAGGGTGGGAAGAAGGCTATGGATCTCAGCATCTAGTATGTATGTATTCATTCTCCCAGTTACCTGCATAACCCAGTTCACAGCTGTGCCAGATTTCCCCCAGTTGAGAGACCTTTGTTTTACTCTTTAGAGAATAAGGCTTCAGTTTTTGCCAAGATTGAGTAAGAGGAGTGGTTCAGCTGAGCAGAATAGGGTTTGGTGGTGTCTGTTTCCCACTGATTTGTAAATAGACTTTATACCACCCCTCCTTATTTTAGCCCCAGTTCACTCTCACTTCCATTGATTCATTAGTCTTTTGTGGATTCTAAAATTTGGGTTGGGTTGGTTTTCAGCTTTGTCCACTACCCACTTAAAATTCAGTTTCTTCAGACTTGTTGAATTCATCTGCTGTGTAGCTTCTTAAACTGTATTGTGACTGTTTCTTCTCCTTAGTCTCTTTTTCCTTATGGGTGTGTGTGTCTTTTAAAAACATTTTTACAGAACAAGTTTGATGGGGTTTGAGCTGTCCTCTTTACTTGGAAGTTGATACAAGTAGCCTCTTCATGACTGTATATCCTTGATTTCTCTGCCTTGATTTATTTTAAATCGCTATTGATCTTGATATCCCAGTTATATTTTCATTTTTCCACCACTGAATAGACAATAGTTAGAAGGACAAAGCATTATAGATAGTTCACTCTAAACCAAATTGTTGGATTTGGCTGAACATTCAGAACAAACTGGAGTTTGATAGATACAGTAAAGAATACATTAGGTGGATTTTTTTTAAACTGTAGTTGAAAATACATGGTAGATATAAGGTTTAATATTTTTATACTTCTTTGTAAGCCTCATGACTGCTACTGATTTGCTAGAGCTGTGGTAATATTTTATCTCATGCTTGTATTCTAGAAATGTGGTATTCACAGACATAAATTCCATACTTCGCTACTTGGCTCGAGTTGCAACGACAACTGGGCTCTATGGTTCTAACCTGCTGGAACATACTGAGGTAAGGAATGAACATTTCCTTGGGTTTGTTTTGATTTATGTTCTGTTCTTTTGAGAACTTCATTTTATTGTTGGCTTATGTACTATTATTCTGTGTAAGGATATTCATGGAGTTTAGTGGTAGACCTAGTTAAGGAATTCTCATCCTGTTTTTATTTTCGGAGGGGGGGAGAAAAACACCTAATGTCTGCTAAGTTTGAACTTTTAATCCCATACCAGCTGTCCTGTTGGGTCAGTGAGTGCTGTCTTCTTCCTAGATTCCCAGGAAGGAATCAGGTGAGGCAGCAGGCCTAGAAAAGTTAAGAGATTTTCCCAGGGTCACACACGTAGTTTGGATCCCCTTTTCCTTTCTAGGTATACACTTTAATTAATTACAGCAGCAGTAGATTAACTTCCAGTACTGCTGTTTAGATGCCTTCTGTTTGTTTGTATTCAGCTCCACTTCTCCTAAGTTTTATGAAATTCAGTATACAAAGAATAGTTGCCTAGGCATTTAGTTTTAAATTTTACAGGTAGATGAATCTGTTTGGCTAGGTATCACCTATTGGTTTTGGCTAAGTATCACCTAGTGGGTTATTCCTTCCTGCTGCCAGTTCTCAAATCTTTGTTTTTCTTTTTCTTCTCTGAAGTGCTTCTCTGCACTCCTTGGGGGCGGGGGGGCGGGGGGGGGGAGAAGCACAGAAATATAACAATGAAATTTGTTTATTTAAATGCCAATTTAGATCTCAGGCAGCCAAAATTAAATCCATATAATGGCAAATCCTGTAATTTGAGATGAGATTAGGCATGATTCTGAGGTCATTTGTTTGTTTAAATCTAAACCCTGAGGTGCATTTCTTTTCGATCTTTTATGTCCACAGATTGATCACTGGTTGGAGTTTAGTGCTACAAAATTGTCTTCATGTAATTTGTTCACTTCTGCAATCAACGAGCTCAATCATTGCCTGTCTCTGAGAACATACTTAGTTGGAAATTCCTTGAGCTTAGCAGATTTGTGTGTTTGGGCCACCCTAAAAGGTATCATTTATTCTTCCTGAAGAATGCTTTATTTTTATTACTTGATATTTTGCTGGATAAGAAGTGTGCATTTTTCTACATATACACATATGTATTGTGCATGCACGCACGTGTGTGTGTAGAAAGAGAGTCACTTAGGACTTCCTTGCAAAGGAATGACTGCTTTGGCTATTTTATTCCTGTCCAGGCACAGGAATTCCCAATCCTTTGCTGTCCTGAGAGGTCTTTTCTCTCTCACTAACCCAACTCCCTTCTGCTTGTGAAGCTGACCTTGGTCCTGCTGAAGAAGCCCTCATCCCATTTATGTCAGCACCTCTGTTGTCTCAGTCGTTCCTTTACTCCAGGCATTGTTGTCTTTGATCACTTAGTAGGGGTATATGTGTGTTTGAGGGGGTGATCTGGAGTTGTTCCTCCTGGAGGTCACGGATTCTCTATTCTGACTACTTGGCAACAGGGTAGGATTATAGGATTGATGAGAGGTATAAAGAGGACTTAAATTTTGTTGGCTTATTTTCTTTAAAAAAAATAAAAACAAAAAACCTGAAGCAAATATGCCAGAAAGTTTTATCATTCTTTAAATCTGCATCATGTGGGATTTTTTATGTTGTGTGTACTGTTTTTGTGGCTAAAAATTTTCTCCGAATTCAGTTAAATTTTTATAATAATAACCAACATAAATTGAAGGCCTTTTCTAATTAGATGTTTTCATATATAGGTTTGACATTTTCATCTTTTTTGATTTTTGACTTAGTATTCATGAAAGGATAATATCTTAAGGATGTAACTTTCTGATATTAAAGAATTAAATTTTCCTTCACTGCCTACTTTTGATACTACACTTGAAGAAATGAGCTATTTCTTGATCTTGATAGGAAACTATTTTGTTTTCTAGTTGATCTACTTAAAGCCTTTCCTTAATTATGAAATATGACGTTGGCCTTATAGTGGGTATGTGGTGGTGGTGAGGGCAGGATTTAGTACAGCAAAAATATTTTTTTTTTTTAAAGATTTTATTTTTTATTTATTTATTTGAGAGAGAGAGAATGAGAGAGAGCACATGAGAGGGGGGAGGGTCAGAGGGAGAAGCAGACTCCCTGCTGAGCAGGGAGCCCGATGCGGAACTCGATCCCGGGACTCCAGGATCATGACCTGAGCCGAAGGCAGTTGCTTAACCAACTGAGCCACCCAGGCGCCCAGCAAAAATATTTTTAATTAACTTCTGTGAATTCTGTAAAGTATATTAAAATACTAGAAAACATTTCAGTGTATACCTAGATTGCAAATTTTTCATTATGGAAGCACATTTTTTTTTTTTTTTAAAGTAGGCTCCACGCCCAGCGTGGGGCTTGAACTCAAGATTCTGGGATTAAGAGTTGTGTGCTCTGTGGACTGAGCCAGCCAGGCACCCCTTTAGAAGCACAACTTTAAGCCATCTCATTTACTTAAATTAACCACGATTAGAACTTTGCTTTTAAAGTTGTGGATTTATTGAATGGTTTTAAAATTATTTTTGCTAATAGGCAGTGCTGCATGGCAAGAACAGTTGAAACAGAACAAAGCTCCAGTGCACGTAAAACGCTGGTTTGGCTTTCTCGAAGCCCAGCAGGCCTTCCAGTCTGTAGGTACCAAGTGGAATGTTTCAACGACCAAAGCTAAAGTGGTAAGCTTTTTTAAATGCTGATATCTTAGTTGGTTTGAGATCATAGATCTGAAAAGAAAATTATTCCTACTTATGGTTTATTTTTCTTTTCATGTGTGAAAAATCTTCTTGGAAAAATCTGTGGAGTCTGTTAAGTCTTGGCTTGCCTTTAACTGTTTAACTCCATAAAGCCTTAATCTTTGTAGTTATATGTCTAAAATATTATGATCATCCAATGTATGTCCCTTAGGAAATCCAAAATCCAAGTAACTAAAATCTCATTATTTATAGCTATATGATTTTTTCTTCCTCCCAACTCTCCTGTTTGTTCATTTTTGGCCATTGAGTCCTGGGCTTCTGCAGAGCCTTTTTGTTAATCTCTAGGAGGATGTGATGTAAAGTCCAGTAGAAAAGATTCTCTTCCCCAGCCAGAGTCTCTCTGCTTTGATCTGTTCCACATATTAGGCATGTGTAGTAAAGTTTCAACTTAAAGTTTCTTTTCCATTGCAATAAAAATTTGAAAACTACTGCCTATTTGGATCAAGACACCACAGTCCACTCTGTTGTTTTGGCTAAAAATCGTCACTCATTCTTCACCATTTTTCCCATGGAATCAGTCACCAAGTTCTGTTCTTCTCATATCTATTGATACGTTTTCTATCTCCACTGTTACTGATTTTTATTGAAACCTCATTACCCCTTGGTTGATTTAATACCATAATCTCATCCAAGGTCTCTGTCTTTTCTAGTTCAGCCTCTGCGTTGTCCTGGGTATCATTTTAGAAAACACAAATAAATGGTCCCATTACCCCTGGGATTTCCTCGTTGCCTAAAACCTAAAAGCACGTGTATGAGGGGCTTCATATTTTGGACCTTGTCAACAATTCAGCTTCCTTGCCTATCCACCCCACATGCATTTCTAACTTTTCAAGGACATCGCACTGTCTTTGTGTCTTACCTGTGCTGTTGTTCCTTTTCTTTTTTTTTTTAAAGATTTTATTTATTTATTTGAGACAGAGAGAATGAGAGAGAGCGCACATGAGAGGGGGGAGGGTCAGAGGGAGAAGCAGGCTCCCCACTGAGCAGGGAGCCCGATGCGGGACTCGATCCAGGGACTCCAGGATCATGACCTGAGCCGAAGGCAGTCGCTTAACCAACTGAGCCACCCAGGCGCCCTGTTGTTCCTTTTCTTAGAAAGAAGGCCCTTACACATTCTGCGTCTGACACATTTCCACTTATTTTTTTAAGGTCCAGCTTGGTTCTTACCGCCTTTTAAGCTTTTCCTGATGAAAAGGCTATTGGTTAACTTCAACTGACTGCTCTAACAGCCCTCTATAAATATATATGTATATCTCTGTTACCAGTGGTTGGTTTTGTTTACATCCTTCACAAGGTTTTGGGTCTTCAAGTGCAAGGACAACGTTCAAGTCCTCATTTATCTTATAACCATGCCTGGTACATAGTGGGTACTGAGGAAGTATTTGTTGGATGAATGTATTCTTAAACATTTAATGATATAACTGTATTTGTTGTTTCTGTTCTGCTTTTCAGACACCTGAGAAAAAACAAGATGTTGGGAAATTTGTTGAGCTTCCAGGTGCTGAGATGGGAAAGGTTACTGTCAGATTTCCTCCAGAGGCTAGTGGGTAAGAAAATGTAACTTGTAATTACAATGGAATATATTTAGTGGAAAAGCTTAAAATAGTTAAATACTTATATTACTAGAATACTAATATAGAAGAAAATAAGTAAGATTTTAATTATGGGAATCAAAATTCTAAACATCTTAATAGTCTGTTATTGACAGCTGATGTTAATGTATTAAATTTGTAGTTTTAGCTTATTAATCAGACAATTGTTATTTTACCCCAGACAGAATTTTAATTATAGAGAATACCCATAAATATAAAGTCTTAAGTTTTATTTGCATTTTGAAATTTTTCAGCTCTCATTTAATAAGGATTTGTATTTGTACCCTGAGCATTCCTTTCGGTTAGCAGAAGTTATGGCAGAATTATTTTTAAGTTACTTTTTTTCTGAAATAAAGAAAGGGGCATCCTGAAAAGCCTATTCCTTTTCAGTTTTTTCTGTTACCAGGAGGCTTCCTAACCCCTTTCACTTTTGGCACCAAAAGAAAATAATAACATTTGAATAGCTCTTTGGAGAAAAAGACTTGTTCTGGCTGGTGGCCACCAGCCTGGGGCTGCCCCAGGCCTTGCCCAGCATTGCCCTGGGCTGAGGGGACTCCACCTTCGCACATGCATCAGCCTCTTTGAGCATACTGGACAAGCTTTGTGATAGTGCTCTTCCAGTGGGAGTAATACAATAAAGTGTGTCTTACTAAAGCAATTAGCCTCAGGAACTTAGCCATTAGGAAAGAATTGTGCCATATTTGGTAAATGAGGTGATTTTTTTCTCCCTAACTTTTGTTTAATTTCAGATTTTGTATTTTATAGCTAAATTCTTACCCATTTGTGGTAAGTGGAATGTGTAGACAGTAAAAAGCAGATAAGGAAGAAAACCATTTTATTTTAGCTGTTCTTAGTAGTTCTTCACAAACTTTTCATAAGCACCACTGACAGGAAAATCTGTTTTAGAATTCCACTTTTTCTCTCTGCTTTTCTAAGTTTGCTGATGAAGGTGGTGAAATGAAGGATAAATAGAAGATGAAGGAGAAATAATGAATTTGGAAAATTCACAGACTAAATTATTAAGTGGTCGATTGGTAGTTAACTGGGTGGAATCCCATAAATAAGACTTAACCATATGTGCTTTAATTCCCACAGACATCTTGGGTCCTTGTGGCCCAGTATTCTGCTCTTCTGTACTTAGTGTGAGAGGTCCTGGTTGCCCATTGGTAGTGACTTCAATGGTTTGCTAAAGCCACTTTCTTAGCAGTGGCTGTTTATAGCTCTGGCATTTGAACATTAGTCCTTTTAGACTCTCTTTATGTTTTTTGTCACTGTCATTTCTTAGAATAGTGAGTGCCTCATCTTTATAATTTATGAAGTACATTTGTCTGCCATAAATTATATCAATTTCAGAGACCATGCTCTTGGCCAAATACAGTTTTGGGATTTGGAATATGAATCAGTATTCAGGTTTTCTCGTCTTTTTTTGTTTGTTTTTTGTTTTACTATTCATAATTTTATTATATCCCTTTATACTGCTAAAGAATTCTTTAATTTTTCTTTTCCTAAGATTTTATTTTTAAGTAATCTCTACACCCAGCATGGGGCTTTAAATTACAACCTTGAGATCAAGAGTTGCATGCTCTACCGACTGAGCCAGCTAGGCTCCCCCTGTAATGTTTCTTTTTAGTCATTTTATTTTTCTGTGTCTTTCATGAAAGGCCAGAACGCTTGACTTTTTTTGTTTGTTTGTTTAAGGTTTTATTTATTTATTTGACAGAGAGCACAAAAACAGGGGGAGCGGCAGGCAGAGGAAGTGGGAGAAGCCGATTCCCTGCTGAGCCAGGAGCCGATGCAGGGGTTTGATCCCAGGACTCTGGGATCATGACCTGAGCTGAAGGCAGATGCTTAACTGACTGAGCCACCCAGGCGCCCTGAAGGCTTGACATGTGCCCTTGTTCTTATTCTTAGCTAACGTATATGGAACCTGTTATGTGCAGGTACTACCAGGCATTGTACATTTACTGTTTTAATAGCCCTGTGAGGAAAGCTCTTTAATAGCTGCATTTTACAAATGTTTTCAGAAACATTCCTACAACATTTTGGTAGTTTGCCAAACTTGTGCTATTTGGCTCTAGAGTCCATTTGACTTAAAATTCTGCAGCCTATATCTGTTAAATGTGGCAGAAGCCCAATTTGGTGTTTGTACTAACTCACGCAGCATGAATCTTCCTTTCTTTAGTTAGCTAGTTGTCTCTTGAGCTGATTATTTTAGTTACCTTGTGAATATTTTATAGTCCTTTTAGCTTTCTTGACATTTAGAATTGTTAGAACCACACACATTATTTCAGATTCAGAAACAGTATCTTTAAGGTAATGGTTCAATTTCCTGACCTCTCTTAAATTAATTCCTTTATGTAAAGCCTAGCACATTAACTGTCTTATAGTATGGGTAGTCAGTGATAATTAGTTTGTTGTTTTTTTTTTCTTCCTAATGATGGATATAGCATGATACAGGTATGACACTTTGAACAAAGACTAAAGATAGTGTTTCTGTTTCTTTTTTCTTTTTCTTTTAAGATTTTTATTTATTTATTTGACAGAGAGAGACACAGTGAAAGAGGGAACACAAGAAGGGGGTGTGGGGGAGGGAGAAGCAGGCTTCCTGCTGAGCAGGGAGCCCGATGTGGGGCTCGATCCCAGGACCGTAGGATTATGACCTGAGCCGAAGGCAGATGCTTAACGACTGAGCCACCCAGGCGCCCCAGTGTTTGTTTCTTTCTTGGAACTCACAGTTCTTTGTTCTGTTTTATTTTTGGTAAACCTTTTATTTTAGGGGTAGTTTTAATTTACAGAAACATAGTGAAGATAGTACAAAATGTTCCCACATACACTGTACCCAGTTAAGTCTGGTACCTTTGTCACAACTGGTGAACCAATATCAATTTTTTATTATTATTATCACCTAAACTCCATACCTTTTTTGGATTTCATTAGTATTTCCCTAATGTCCTTTTTCTGTTTTAGAATCTCATCTGGGTTACCAGTGACAGCCTTTTATATTATGCAGAAAGTTTTGAATAACCCTAAATGCATTGCTTTGTACTTGTCTATGTTAACCTGTGTGCATATATATGCTTAACATTGAATCATCGATCTAGAATGCTGTGTGAATTTTGAAAATGTGGATTGATTTAAAAATTGAAGTGAAGACTTGCAGGGAGTTGTATTTTCCCCTCCCCTGTTGATACCAGCTGAGATCAGGTTGGCGTCAAACTAGGACCTAGTGCAGTGGGACCATGGCTACCATTAGTGGAAACCAGTAAAAATTCGTGAGAGATGATTAAGCTTCCTTAATTCATGCCGTATTTGCTGCCCAGGAAAGGGTATTTTCTACAGTGGTGGTGTAGGATACTGCTTTTTACACACTTAGCTGATAGAGGAGAATGTTGATCTAGAATATTATCAGCAGTGCCTGTGACATATTTTATTCCTTATAATTGCCAACTGCCCATAGGAACAGAATAGTGTTTTCATAGATTGTGATTCACGGAGCATTGGTACTGGAAGGTCCTTTAGCTAGAATCCTTTTATTTTGGCTTCTGAGAAAACGGACGCCTTGAGAAGTAAGTGGCTCCTCTGCAGCCTCCTGATCCCCACGTGCCCTTTCATGGAGCCCTCACACGGCAGTGGTGACCTCAGAGGTGCCTCTGGCTGGCGTGCATGAGGTGGGTGCTCGGCTCTCGGTAGCATCAGGTCTTAGTGGAGAGGATACACTCCCGCAGAGCATAGCATTGGAAGCCGTCTCGGAGGCAGTTTTCCTCTAACCAAATGACCGCTCGTTCCCTCTGTGAGAGAAGAAGAAAAAAAAAGATTTTCCTTAAGGTTGTTTGTTTTGTTTTTTTCTCCTTAAGGTGGTAATATTAACAAATAACTTTTCCCTTTGTGAACTTGTGCATATGAAATTGTTTCTTGTGATTATTTTATAAATGTTGTAGTCTTTTTCTTCCTGTGAAGGTCAGATTTTCTATCACAGTACTTTTTTGTTGGAAAATAAAATATGACTGGAGTACCAACTAGAAGGATTTTTGTTTAGTCCTCATCTCCTCAAAAGGTTAAGTTTAAATATTTAGTTAAAACATGTTAATGAGTTTCTTTGTGAAATGTTTTTGTTTTAGTTACTTACACATTGGGCATGCAAAAGCTGCTCTTCTGAACCAGCACTACCAGGTTAACTTTAAAGGGAAACTGATCATGAGATTTGATGACACAAATCCTGAAAAAGAAAAGGAAGATTTTGAGAAGGTAATTAAAGGTGTAGTGATGACCCTTTGTCAGAAAAGTTAATGAAAATTAGAGGGTGACCTGATACCTTCATGGTATGAAAATAAGTTTGTTCTCATAGCTGCTTTTTTCCCTCCTCTGTATATTTTGTGTCTGAGACCTAAGCCAAGCAATATTGAGCTCCATACCAAAAAAACTTCAATTTATTTTTTTCTTCCTCAATTGTACCATTTACCAAAGTGTGCTATATTTGCCTATAAGTACCAGTTTCTTAAATGAATTGGTCACTAGAGGCAGGTTTCCTTTTTGTCATACAATTGTTAAGTGTATGAATGAAAGAAACACTTAAGTAGGTGTTGGAAAATTGGGAACGTTTCCTAGCCTCTTTTATTTTCTTTATTCAGAAGCACTGCAATATATTCAAAGAGAGGGCAAATGATTGTCAGTATGACCAATAATAACCAGTTTTCCAGAGTAAATGGAAAGCTCCATCATGAGATCAGCCTTCTCAGCTGCAAATTTGGAGACTAGTATAATGAATATCTTTTTTTTCTTTTCTGATCTAATATACAACTTGCACAACCATTTTCAGGCTTTTTATTTTATTTTATTTTATTTTTTTGACTGATGGTGTATAATTACATTTGCCCAAATGCAGTTATCAAGGACTGAAAATACACAAGAAAATGCAAAAGATAAATTAATGGTTATTTTGGATTCTTTTTGCAGGTTATCTTGGAAGATGTTGCAATGTTGCATATCAAACCAGATCAATTTACTTATACCTCGGATCATTTTGAAAGTATAATGAAATATGCAGAGAAGCTAATTCAGGAAGGGAAGGCTTATGTGGATGATACTCCTGCTGAGCAGATGAAAGCAGAACGTGAGCAGAGGATAGAATCCAAGCATAGGAAAAACTGTAAGGCACATTTAGTGTTTTGTATTTTAACTGTTGATTTTTGAATCTGTTCTTTAGTAGAACAAGATTTCTATGAAAGATGCTGATTTGAGACACATTTGGGAATATGATTCATACATTAATTCATCACAGCATTCTTTTTATCATCTTTACATTGTTTTTACTTTGTGGGCATCACAGCTGCATGCGAGTGTGTGTGCCCTTAGTGTCCCACTTACTAAGTGCCATCTTCTGCATTGTATTCATTCCGTTTGAATGGTTAGTTCTGCAGCATTTTGTAGTTCTCCCAATTTAAATACTTAGCTTTTCTATAAAAGGTTTGATGATCATGTTATTAGTACCCAAGTCATCTTCTTAGCATGTGGGTAAATGTGAATATAATATTGATTATAATATTTAAGCTTGATACTACTCTATACCTCAGAAATACTACTTAATGAAAGAGCATATCTTTCTTATTATTTTTTTTTTTTTAAGATTTTATTTATTTGACAGAGACACAGCGAAAGAGGGAACACAAGCAGGGGGAGTGGGAGCGGGAGAAGCAGGCTTCCCGCAGAGCAGGGATCCCGATGTGCGGCTCGATCCCAGGACCCTGGGATCATGACCTGAGCTGAAGGCAGACGCTTAACGACTGAGCCACCCAGGCGCCCCAAAGAGCATATCTTTCTTATTCATTACTTGTTCCCTGAGCTACTGAATAAGGCTATTTTCATTCTGCAGTTATGTTGCCATAATTTCCACAATACTGAATTTAAATCTTGGCAAGTGTATAGTAAATTCAGTTTGTTACAGAAGTCTTTCTTTTTTCTCTCTCTTTTTAAAGTTTCCCTATGTTTTCAAATACAGTTAACTGTGCTTTTAGACCTCACTTGATTTTTTTGAGGGCAGGTAAAATGTGTCCGTTGTCTTCAGGAGCGTCCACAGAGAATCGTGTAATAGTTCTTTCTTACCTACATGGGACAGGTTTTCAATATTCTCACATAAATAGAACCAAAGCCACTTGGGACATAGAATTCTTTTTTCTGGGATTAAACTTGTGTCATTGTTTTCTGTGATCTCTCATGTTTTTCAATCCAAGAGTCTCCTGCTTTCCCCTGGAATGACTGACAGGGCTTTCAGCAAGCCCATGGGCTCAGGCTCACAGCCCGAGCCATGCTCTTTACCTGGGCATGGGCTGTAGTGCTGATGCATGTGGGCCCTGTGGATCAGACCAGTCTGGTCTATCCCCTGGGCATGAGGTGGCAAAGGGGGACAGAATGGTTCTGCTTCAAAGGCGGTATTAAAATTTGAGGGGGTCAGGGGCTGGCCAGTTGTGCTGTGATGGGAAAATGGGAGATGCAGGATGAGAAAAACCTTCAGGCCTCTTGCTCTCTCTCTTACCCTTAATCAGTACTACATCATTGTAATGTGTTGATTTGATTTCTAAAAATATATTTATAGAGTATATTTTGTAAGTGTTCTGTGAGACTTTTTCATAAGAAAATGATGCATTTACTTTTCATACCAGATATTAGAACTATTACAGTACTTTTAAACTAGTGGAGTGTGCTTATAATATACAAATAGAATATGAAAATCTGTATCAAATTATGGGACTATTAAACTAATTTGAATTCAACTAGATTAGTAATACATTAGATAAACTGTGATATAATTATCATTTCATAGCTATTGAGAAGAATCTGCAAATGTGGGAAGAAATGAAAAAAGGAAGCCAGTTTGGTCAGTCCTGTTGTCTGAGAGCAAAAATTGACATGAGTAGTAACAATGGATGTATGAGAGACCCAACGCTTTATCGCTGTAAAATTCAGCCACATCCAAGAACTGGAAATAAATACAAGTGAGTGCATCTCTTTCATTATGCTTGGTAGCCTACTACGATTTTGCTTTGATGATCTCTGTAAATAAAGAGTAGATGCAGAATAGTCAAGAGACTTTGATCTTTGTTCATCCACAGATTAGTAACTGCTGTTGGTAAAGCATGTAATCTAATCTCTTGGGGTGTTTACTCACCTATTGATTAAGGTTATGCTAGGTTATTTCTAAGATCATTTCCATCTATAAAAGTCCTTCAGGGCGCCTGGGTGGCTCAGTTGGTTAAGCGACTGCCTTCAGCTCGGGTAATGATCCTGGAGTCCCTGGATCGAGTCCCGCATCGGGCTCCCTGCTCGGCGGGGAGCCTGCTTCTCCCTCTGACCCTCCCCCCTCTCATGTGCTCTCCATCTCTCTCATTCTCTCTGTCTCAAATAAATAAATAAAATCTTTAAAAAAAAAAAAAAGTCATTCAGTCTGCTTTAAAGTTGCTTTTTATGTATTGATTAGGTTTACTGTGGTGTATCTTTAGATAAAGATACTTTTCTTCCTCTTATAAACTTGGATTCTGCTGGGCATAAATTGATTCACAAAAGTGATAGAATTGAAAATTTACAATAAGAAAGTATGTGTCTTTTTTCTACTTTTGATTAGTTTTCTGTGTGGGTTTTCAGTTAATGATTTTTTTCTTTAAATGGATTCCCCTCCCCTATTAATTTACTTTTATAAAGTAACTAGAATATTCTTTTATACTTTGAAGAAGCCTACTACATATAAATGCTGAATCAACACTTTTGAAGAGATTAGTGAATGTAAATGCTAACCTGTTTAGCCAGTGTAATTTTCTTTAAACGTGTGGGTGTACATGTGTGTGTCCATATGTAGACAAACACCTTATACATGTAGTTACAGGTGTCTACATAAGTCTTTCATTTTAAACAGGGTGCTTCCTCCTTATTTTACTAAGCAAATACTTTGAATACATTTGGAAAAGTGAATTTGGGTACACATTTTCAGTATCAAATAATTGCTAAGCATAATGCAGTAACATTTTAATGAAGTTATATCCAAAAATTAGAAGGCATAATGCAATATTATATTTGTTAAAATTCAAATTAAAAGTACTTGCACATTGTGTACATTATTTTAATCAGGAATTGTTTTTAAGACTATTTCATCTTAAATGGGTGATCTTAATTAACCTACTTTTCTTCTCTTTTACTTGTCAGAAGAATATGCTTTGTTCTTTTTTTTTTTTCTTTTTTCTTTTTTTATTTATTTATTTGAGAGAGAGAGAATGAGAGAGCACATGAGAGGGGGGAGGGTCAGAGGGAGAAGCACACTCCCTGCCGAGCAGGGAGCCCGATGCGGGACTCGATCCAGGGACTCCGGGATCATGACCTGAGCCGAAGGCAGTCGCCTAACCAACTGAGCCACCCAGGCGCCCAGAATATGCTTTGTTCTTAAATTCATTTAATTACAGGAGATTTAAGCTTAGGTATTTACTCAAATGTGGGATTAGTTAAGATGTTGAAAAGCTAAAAATTCCCTTGAATTATTATGTACAGTTGACCCTTGAGCAATGTAGGGAGTTAGGGCGCCGACCCCCTGCACAGTCAGAAATCTGTATATGACTTTTGATTCCCCAAAAACTTAGCTACTAGTAGCCTCCTATTTTTTTTTTTTGAAGATTTT